TGTAAGAATCTTATTTTGTTCCATATTGTTCTTTATATTTTTATCATATAAAGAGTGGCTGATTATTCTTAGGAAGAGTTCAGACATGATTATTTGCTTAATAAGCAAGGTGACAGTAGTTTATACCTGTATTTTTTAAATAGTGAAAAATATTTAAACATTGATTTCATATGAATGTGAGGTAATTTAATAAGAGCAGTACAAAATGTTGTAAATTGTTTTACAGAACTGAAGGTTACATCAGCTACTAATGCATAATAATGTGTACTGATGATAGCAGTACACTTATCTTAATATAATTCATTTTATGTCCTGTTACCTTGTTTTTCCTGTCCTTTGATGTTTGAATAGAATATCAATTAACTTTAATGACTAGTCTTACATGGCTATCTTCTGCCCTTCTTGATTATATTTTTAAAGATTATCCCTATTGTTAGAACAAAATGTTACTCTTTCATAGGTACAAAGATAATCTTAACTCAAGGTGATTGTTTATATATATCATTAGTACTCATATTTTACAAAGTCAAGCTCAGATTCCATGCAGATTATTCTGAACCACTTATTTAACTCAGAGGTATGTAAGGCCTGTAAGAGCAAATCAATCAGGATATGTATTCTTTAAAATTGACGACAGATTTACTTAACATTTTAAATGCTGTCTGAAGTGCCCTTACATTTAAAAAGTGAACTTTTGGGGTGCTAACCCAGTGATTATGAACTCCATAAATGTCTTATTTGATGGTGAATATGAATAATTTTAACTTCTTATTTATAGTGACCTCATTGATTTTTTGCAGGGATGGGCAGGCATTTAAAGGTTAGCTTTTCAAAGTTCAAAGCTAACATAGATGGTGACATACTGGATAAGACATATGAGTGGATTCTTCATCAAATGTAGGTCATGGTGTGAGGGCTTCTAGACTGCCTGCTTTGAACTCTGCCGCTACCATTTGCAGGCTCTGAAAGTGCAAGCAAATGATTTCAATATTTTTGTGTTTGTTCCCTTTTTCTCAAAAAGTGAACAATAATAGTACTGATTTCACAAGGTCATTGTGAATTTGAAATCTTCAGCTTCAAGTGTTCAGGTAGCACTCGGTAAAAGTCAGATATTATTATTCTTCCCTTCCTATACCTCTGCATCTCTTCTTTGTCATCTACTTGCTATTGCCAGGAATTACCTGGCCCAGAGGACTATTTTAGAGTCTGTTCCCAAGGACATTCCTTCTCTTCCCCTTCATCCTTTTCCTCCTCTCCAAATTGGCAGTAGTGCGGCAGGCAATCTTCCTAATTTGATGTTTCTTTTTATTTTCAGACTTTTGACGTTACTTACTAAAAGACAGAAGAGTTGAACAGTCGTGAAGAGGTGATAAAGCTCAAATCTTAGAGTTCTTCCAGTTGCCATCTCTGGGATGATTCTTGCTTCCTTTGCAGCGGTGCTCTCCATTCAATCAGAAAGTACTGGCTTCCTCTTTTTCCCATGAAGACCATGTTCCAGGAGGCTCAGGGCAGAAAGTGATGGGCCTGTTTCATGGAGGGTGATTGTTACAGAGTTCCTTTTCATTCAGGAAAGTTTTCTTTGGGAATTCCTTTGAAAATTCAGCATGAGATCTGTTAGACTATTAATTTCTCAAGTTCAGACAGTTTTTGTTCACTTATTGTAGGATTTCTAATTTTACCAAAAAAAAAAAAAATACTGAAAGTTTTGGAGAGAACTTATTGAAAAACAGGCCTATAGTGTTGGAATGGGGGTGCATGTCTGTAATCCTGGCTATTTGGGAGGCTGAAGCAGGAGAATTTCAAGTTTGAGGCCAGTTTGTGTAACTTAGTGAGACTGTCTCAAAATAAAATTTTTTAAAGGATGGAGGCATAGTTTAGTTGTACAGCAGTTGCCTAGCAGGTGTGAGAAATGGGAAGAAAAGCAACCTATGAAATTTATCTTTTGTAAGGACATTGTTGAAGGTATTTTTTATCCAGATTTTTAGGAAGACAAATCCCATCCTGCTTTATTATCAATTGATTGTCGAATTTTCCTATAATTATTTTGTTTATCTTTGGCCTGTAACTGATGACGATCCTCTTTTTAACATTTCACCCCTTTAGCTTGCTTTTCCTCTCTGTTTGAATTTACATTTTGATTTAACAATTTTGCATTTTTAAACATCTTTGTAAACTACTTTAAATATTTCAGGAAACCATTGTAGTCTACGAAAGCTTTATATTTGGGAATATTCAAATTATGGCAGCCTAAAACCCTGCATTTCCTCGTAATAATGACGGTTAACATTTGCTCATTTCTACATACCACAGACTACAAAAATACTTTGTGAAGAGCCTCTTTTAACCCCCACAACTGTGCTGTGTGTATTTCCCTTTTGCAAGTGAGAGAACTAGTAAAAGGGCTAAGGCTATTAAAATGAATAAATGCGGAAATCAGATTTTAAATTCAACTGAATCCAAACACTGGACTCCCACCTCTAGATACTTGAAAACAGTGATAAAGTGGGTCAGTGCTCCATGCCTTGAAGGTGCCCTGATTGACATCTTTTGTAAGTTAGGGGCATAAATATGTTTGCTACCTCAACCTTCATTAGCAATGGTATTTGAACAGTTCAATGACCTAAGCCTTTTGCTTGGAATAATTTAGCATTATTATCAAATGTCAAATTACAGACCAAGGAGGGCACAATAGACACTTTTATTTGCAGTGATATCCCAGATAATTTTTTCTTAGTTGGTTTAAAATTTGTAGAGGGTTTGGGAGTGTAGCTTAGTGGTAGAGCATGTACCTAGCATGCCAGAAGCTCTAGGCAAGCACTGAAAATGTGAAAAGTAAGCAGAGGAGGGCTTTAGCTACATTATCAGAAATTACAATTTTTATGAAATGATGCAATTGAATTGTTACCGATATAAAGACACGATGATTATGACCAACTCTTGTCATTGTTGTTGATGTTCATGTTCAAAGAGTGGTGGTGCATGCTTGTAATCACAGCATTCTGAGAGGCTGAGGCAGGAGGACTGCAAGTTCAAACCTAGCCTGGTCAATTTAGCAAGACTCTGTCACAAAATAAAAAATAAAAGCTGAGCCAGAGTATAGCTCCCTTTGAAAACCCTGGGTTCAATCCCCAGAACTGCAGAGAACAAAAAAATAAACTGTAAATTATTTGAGAAAGAACTGCTATCCTTGAGAATTGACAGTTACTGTGCCAAAACCTGGAGTAATTTATTCTAACCACACCTTCTAGTTGTACTGATGCATTATAAAGAAGCAGAAGAAAGGACAGCCTGTTTCCTTCTGCCCTTGATTGAGAAGTCCAAAGATCTATTTTCTTTAGACCACAGTGTGCTTTATAGTTTTCCTATGGAATATTGAATGGCAAGAGGAAAGCTTTCTCTCTCTCTCTCTCTCTCTCTCTCTCTCTCTCTCTCTCTCTCTCTCTCACTTTGTATGTCTGTCTCTTTCTGTATCTTTGTTCTCAACTCTTTTAAAAATATTTTTTTTCTAACAGTTTTGGAAAGCATGTTCCTCCCAGGCATTTAAAAGCTTTTTTGGCATGTAATGTTGCCAGTGTTAACTTTGGCAACTGGTGCAGCTTACAATCATGCATTAAAGTAGAAATCTAATTTTCATATCACTTGCTTAAAGTTGAGTCGTGATAAACTTCGTTGGTAATGCTAGCTTTGTGTTATGAATCATTGCATGTATAGTCCATACAGTTGAACTATATGGAGGTAGGCAATTCCATGTTCATTTGAGAAGTATTTGTGAGTCCTACAAATTAATTTTTGTTGTGTCTTTGTTAGCTTTGAATAAGACCATGATGAGTTTTTATGTCCTTGAGTTAGGTAATTTCCTGTCTGGGACAGAGACACTGAGCAATTAAAATAAATTATTTTAAGTACTTTTTGGAAAGTCAAATTAACTTCTGACGTATCTGAGTAGTTTCTCAGCTGTGAGATTTTTAGGGACCTCCTGGTTCCTTTCACATGATTAGAGCATTGTAGGGTATGTGAGCATCTAGCAGTCAGTCTAAATGTTTTGGGCTCCTTGAGGAATCTAAGCTTGTCTGCTTTGTCTCTTTGTGAATGGGGCTTGTTTTTTTGCTTTTCCTTGTACTGGATTTGACTTTGGTCTTTACTAGCGTTTCCTTGGCTCTAGCCTCTGCAGAGTTGTTTTGCTTAGACCACTCACCTTCATTGAGTCTGACTTTTCTCTTTGCTTCTTTAGTTCTCTGCAGACTTGTTGGCTTCTGGCTTAGTTTTTCTTGTTGTTCTAGGTTCCATGCCTTTATGAAATTAGATTTCCTCCTCAAATTAATTTTGCTTTTTAAAACAGAGGGTGAAAGTCATCCTGTCCCCCAACCTTTTGGAACTTTAGCTGAAGTTTACATGAGAGAAGGAAGCCTTCCTGGAAAAGACTGGAGTGGTTGTTCTTGTAGGTTTCTTGCGAGTCCCACAGAGGTTGTTCCCTCCTGGACCCACAGGACAGAAATGAATTCATTATGTCCATTGGTGCCTTTGGGCATTTGAGCTTAAGTTTCTTGCAGAATCTCAGTTTAAGTCCAGTAAAATTTACTTTAAATGTGTACCATATGGAAGGGCAAAAATGATACTTTCTCACTGTTTATATCATACCATGTAATGTATAGGGCTCCTTCAGACAGATTATCTCATTTAGTATAGGAATTCACTTGAAAACTTGCAAAAATAGAGCCACTGATAGAGCTTCAGTGAAATTTTTGCCATGGTTTAGGTGTGGGTTTAGTGTCCCCCGAGAGTTCATTGTGATGGCACTGAACAGCACTGTTGGGAGGTGCTGCAGCCTTTAGGAGGTAGGGCCCTGTGAGAGGTCCTTAGCACAGGGCAGTGTAAGGTGCTTCTCAAATGACCTCTTTGGGAGTTCTCATACAAGCTCTTTGGTAATTCTCTTGAGAGAGTCGTTAGGAAAAGAGAAAACTTGGCCCCACCCATCCTCTTTGTCTCTGCTCCTGTTCCAGATGCGATACCAGGCCATACTATCATCCCCTGCCTCCAGATGCCAAACAAACCTGGCCCTCACCTGACTTTGGACTTCGATCCCCCAAATGGTGAGCCAAAGAAACTATTCTCTTTGTTAAGTTAGCTGCCTCAGTTACTTGGTTGTAGTAATGCCATGCTGACTAATATAATCTTTTATTATCTTTGATTTATTTACTTTAAAGGCTTATAGGAGACCCAAACTAAGTGAAGTGTGTTGGTTCATCTGCACCTGAAATAAAACCCAAAGACTTTGAGACACTTGGGCTACCTGATGGTAACAGCTGTGTTCATTTTATACACCTGCCTATCCTTAGCACCTAGAGTTTCTGGTTTATTGTAGGTGTATGGCAAATATTTCTCGATGAAATTATACTCTAGATATACACACATAGTACTCAGACTCATTTTAATCTCTGCCACCATAGTTTCAGATACGTTCTTCTAACATTTAAAGTGATTAGAAATTGGATAAGAGTCTGTTTATAACCTTGGCAAATCCCCAAACCTTCATAAAGTGGGTAAAAAGTCCAGAGATGACTAGGTTTGGGTGGGTTTGTTCTGTGGTGAGTGGTTCTTGGGTGGGCGAGAGAGGTAGTTGTCAACAGGAGCATGTGTTTTTCACTGGAATTTGTTGCAGGAAGTGGGAAGTCCTGGTTCCTGGGCCTCTGGCTAATGCTGCACTAGAAGGAATGGGGCAGGGTTAAAATAACACATGCTGTCTCTCTCTGTCAAGAGCTGCCATGAATCACTGCTTTTATTGGGAAGAAATTGCTTAGTAATATGAAGACTTTGATATAAAAATGACCACTGCAGCGCAGAGATGTATGAAATAAAGAGCTTGGTAGCATTTCTAGATCCATTTGACAACAATTATGCTGCAGATGAAATCAGAAATGTTTTTCTCCATTATATGTACCAAGAACAATGTGACTTGGGTGACAGGGACTCTATGAAACCATTTAGAAAATGTAACAAGGCCTTGACAAGCAGAAAAACACGATTTCCAATACTGTGGAGCTGTTTCTAAACAGTATTAACTAGAATAGCATTGTCCTGATTACCTGTGATAAAAATCCAGGGCAGTAAGACATCCTTGAAAATTAGTTATTCTTTGTTGAAATCAGTATGCCAATCTTGTGACAGTACATACAGTGCCTTTAGTGTTTTTATGGATAAATGCATGAAGTAAGAAAATTCACATACATTTCAAAAATGAAAGAAAGGAAAAGAAAATGATGGCAATGCTAATGGAGTGGAGGAAGGAGGTGAGGTTACAGAATGCAGATGTAGAGCATATGGATGAGACACTAAGCTCTTAGGAAAGGAAGTCTTGAGGAGATCTGGCTCTCTCCAAGATGTAGAGCTGAAGGTTCAAGGTTGTCCTTCATAGGAATCAAGAACTAGAGAATCTCTAGCTGATGTCTGGGTCACCTTAGTAACCATCTTGAGTTATTTCCCAAGATTGTGCTGACTTCTTCTTAGGTCTCCACTCAAACCGCCACATTTCCAATTACGTAAGCTAACACCTAGGAATGTTTTATTTTATTTTATTTTATTTTATTTCATTTTTTAGACAAGATCTCACTATGCAGTGAAAGTTTTGGCCTTGCACTTGCCTCGAACTCATGGTGATCCTCCTGCCTCAGTCTTCTGAGTACTGGGGTTATAGGCATACACCACCACGCCTGTTTTAGGAATCGTTCTTGATTTTGCCTTTTCCCTTACTTCCCATAACTAATCCATCAGAAATTCTGTAGTTCTATTTCCAAAATAAACTTTGAGAGTATTTATTTGTCCCCCTCTCACTGTCACCCTTGATCCTAAGACATCACCATTTCCTTCCTGACCAACAGCAAGGGAATTCTAATCTCCATTCTAATCACTTTTTTTTTTTTGAGCTTTTGCTTTGCCACATTCTTTTTTTTCACAGCAAAGTGATATTTTAAAGAAGTCAATAAAACAAACTATCTTGTTTAAAACCCTCCGTTGGCTTTTCATAACTCTGAGTGTAGAATGTAAACCCTTGCAGTGCTGGGGCTTATCTCACCCCACTGTTGCAGCACCCACTCTCAATATCCTGTAGCCACAGTGCTTGCTTCTTGTCCCCAGGATGGCCATGGTATTTTCCTGCCTTAGAGCTTTAGTTTGTGCTAGTTCTTGGACATACTTATCTTTCTCCTTCTCTTCCCATCCTCATGTTCCCATCCTACCATATCACATCAAATGTCCCTTTGTGAAGGTCTTATTCTTACATCCTTTCCAAAATCGTCACCATTTATCACATCTCTATTTCCTTTGTGCTGCCTGAGTGCAAGTCCCCTTCCTACCACATGCAAGGACTTGTGGCTTCTTCACTGCTGTCTTCTTATTGCCTAGAACAATGCATGGAACATGTAGCAAGCACTCAGCAATATTGGTTGGTTTAAACAGTTCTTGTTTAGATGCTGTATTAATCAGTTTTGCATTACTATAATAATGAAATAGATGAGGCAGGCTAAGCTAACTTTATAAAGATGAGATTTTTTTGAGTTCCCAGTTTTGGAGGTTGAAAGTCCAAACAGCATGGTGTAGGCTCCGGTGATGACTCCCTTGGCTGTGGATGGCTATGGTAGGAGTGCGTGTAGGAGCAAGAGGTTTATCATCAACCAGGAAGCCAATGACCAATTCAGGAGTTAAGGTGACTCATAATATCTTGACTCATGAGAGGTTAGGAATTTCATCACAGCTACCTCAATCCCTTCTGAGTCAGTTTTGCCAGTGACCTAAGAATCTTCCACTAGACGCCACATCTTATGGGGTCCACCAAGTCCCATATTGTTACATTAGGGATCAAGCTTCCAAAACAGGAAATTTTGGGGCACATTCTCAAACCATATTCAGTCTATAGCAGGTGTCTCTTTGTGTCTTTGGGAACCATTAACCTATTACCTCTCTGTATATTTCATATGGCTCTTACCTTCTCATCACAATCAAGGACTCTCCTACAACTTGAGGTTCATAGAGTTCTTTCTTGCTCTCAATACCAAACCAACTTTCTACAATCAGACTCATGCACGTAGGCATCTAGTCAGGTGTTTGTGGAAATCTCTCTGGTTGTCCAAGGGCTCCAGGTATTGCTGAGTCCCTATAGAGGTAGAGATTGGGGTGAAGCTGCCCTCTTGATGAATTTGCCATTAAATTTTATGCCCACTGTTCACTCTCTACATCCAAAGTAAAGGAACTTTTCAGGAGGTGTGATACATATCTTACAGGCTTTTGAGAAGGAACATTGAGTTTGCATTGCTGTCCTGAAATTAGTTTTAATCAAAAACATTTAGAAGAATTCTTTGGAGGGGGTAAGTAACATGTTCTTGAAGATCTACTACTGTGATACTGTTTTGCTTTTATGTTTGTAGTATTTTAGTTTTGATGGTACTCTAAATAAAATATTCATCTGAGCATATTTGGGATCATCTGAAGAACTAGAATAGAGGACCATGTACAGTCTAGTGCCTTTGCATGCATCTGTGTTCATGACTAACGGATCCTAAGTGAAGGTTAAAGGATGTTAGTTCCCTCTCTGTAGAAATGGAGGCTTTGCAGTTACTGGAGCAAAGCTGTGTTCCTCAACCTCTACTTCCACATGTGTGTGTGTATATTACTCTGTGGTCAGCTCTTTTAGGACCTTGATTACCGCACTGAGACTAAGGCTTAGGGTTTCAGTGGGAAAACACAATGGAATAGTTAAGTGCACCAAGCTCTATCTTTGCCCCTCTTGTGTTTAACAAAGCAGCTTCCCTTTTCTTTTTTGGACACCAGTCTTCTGTCTAATAAGCTTGTTGACTGGAGGGAATTGAAAAACTAGTTTAAAACCTGCTGGTCTAGACCATTCAGTTCCAGGTAAGAATTTCAAATATTATAGGAATTTGTAATGAAAACAGTTGGCTCAGATTTGATGATAGCTTTACTTCCAGAAGCAAAATATGGGAAACTGGCTCCGATTCAGAACCATAAGCACAAGTAAATTTCCATTGAAAGCAAAACACATTTCAATTAGAGCACATTCATATCACAGTAAGATACTGTATGCCTCTCAAGTTGCAGAGAATGGTATAGAATATGTTAAGTACCACAGTGCATTAGAGGCAGAACCAATGCTAGAACTTTAGGTTTTTGACTCTTATTCTAGTAGTCTTTTCATTATTCTGCCTTTTTCTTTCTTCTTCTTTTGGTACTAGGAATCGAACTCAGGGCCTGGCATTTGCCAGGCAGGTGCTGTGCTGCTGAGCTACATCCCCAACCCTATTCTGCCTTTTTCTTACAGCACTTTTTTTTCAAAATTATCTTATAGAAAGAGACTTAAAATTTCTGGAGATATTTTTTCAGTCTGTTTTTAGGAGTCTATGACAAAAACAGAAAGTGTCTTTGAACTGGTATACACACATATTTGAAAATCTCTCAATATTATTTTTTCTTCTCTCTGGTCACAGTATATTCCTTCCTATTTCATTCCTTTTTCCTCAGCAAATGCCTTGGTAAGCCCAAAGTAAGGCTTTTAAAAGATACTCTGTTCCTGAGATGTGATTCCTGCTTGCTGTCTTGATATTTCTGAAACTCTAATCTGAAACACATCCGTATACTTATTCACTATACTTATTCACATGTAGATTCCTTTGTTTCTGTCCTTTTGTCATGTTACCTATGTTACACATGGCTAGAGAATTTACTTACAATAAAGTCTGTGGATGTGCTTCAAATGCTCATAAATCTTATATTCTGACAGCAGGATCTTTTTTTTTTTTTTGCATTTGTAAGATCTCTGCTAACCAGTTTAGCTATAAAAGTTCCTATAGTTTTTATTTTTTTCTTTCCATCCATGAAGACACTAGAAGTTCTTCCTTTCTATGTCTATACTCTTGTAAATTTAGGATAGCGTTTCTCTCCTAGAGACTCAACATTTCTCTTTAATTACTTTACTTCTAATTGCCTCCCTGTCTGGCTCCCTCCTTTCCTTCACTGACACTGCTTTGTGCCAGGGTTTGATTATAGTTTAGCCAAATGCTAAAGATTAGATCAAGTAGCTTCTCAT